ATGGGAACATGCATGGAAGAATAAATTGCTGTCTAGAATTATGGGAAGTTTTAAGGGGAAAGAGCAACTTGCATTTGCTTTTGGATGGCAATTAAGTGAGAACGCTTGTAGTCTAAGAAATAAGTGAGATGTACCAGGAAGAGTATTACATGATATAAAGAAAGAGTTGGGGAAAATTTTGGCTACTGTGAATAGAAAAGTACAATATTCTAGAAATGATGACTCACTGAAATATTTTTACATCTGATTATAGTGAAATAACTTACCCCCTAGTAATACATATTTTATGTTTTTCTAATATGTTTATTTAATCCATTCAGCTTGCCTATCATGTGTTTTAATTCAACTTAATTTTAAAAATTCATTTCAAATTTCCTGTCAGCCACTAAATTTAGAAAATCCTTTAATAGGTATTGCTGTCATCTTAGAAATAAGAATATGTAACTGGCAGAGCATCATCTATGTTCTAGGGATTATCATGTTTTTGAATTTTATCTCCTTTAATCCTCCCAACAAACCTATATGGTGTAGGCATTTCCTTATCCCCAATTTACATTGAGGAAACCGGAGCATAGGGGTTAAGGCAGTCTGATTTCAGAGCCCGTGTTCCTAGCCCACCACCTTTGCCATACTGTGTGATTAGTTTGTTTTTATTATTGTTATTGTTATAATCACTATCAGTTTATTATTCTTGTTAATTTCTATATTCCAATAGCAATACTTTGATAGAATTCTCTGATTTCTCTGGCAAATCCTAAACTTAACTTTTTGTGATTCAATCTACTCAAACCACTACCAGTTGTTTTTCTCTTAGCTTTTCTCACAGTGTGTCTTTATCTCGGTTATTCATTTCATTGTTTATGGTCTGTCGTTTCTCACTGAAATGTCAGCTTCTAGAGGGTGGGAACCTCTTTGTTTTGCTCACTGCTATATTCCTGATGCATAAGTGCCTGGTGTGGAGCAAATGCTCAATAACTATTGGCTGCATGAATAAATAATGAATGAGTTATGTTAATGATTTGTATCTTTTTTTTATGACTCGTGATTTAATCAGTCAACTAATATTTATATGTGCCAATTCTACGCCTAGTTCTGTGCCGTGGTTCATATATGTATTAATACTTACTAAATGCCGCGTCCTCTTCTAAGCACTTTATGTAAAGCAACTCTTAATCTCAACAATAACCCTATGAGATGATCTGCAGAGATCCAAAAAAATGTTAGGACGTGGCTTCTTTCTATAAGGAGCTTCAAATATGGTTGAAAAATAATACTAATGGAAGTGAAATAATGAGAAAATAATATAAGTTTATAATACAAGCACATAACTATTAAATTTTGAGTTGTAATTACATTTTGAGGTAAGAAGAGCACAGGTAGATAATTCAAATTTTGTAAGGAATTAATATTTCATGTTGGCCTTAAGTGACAGGAGGAATTTGGGTAGATGAAGGGAAGAAGGGGGTAATATTCCTGGATAGAACAACTGAATTAAGGTGTAGAACAAGAATAACCTTTGGAGTCTGGGAATAATGGTATATATGATTGGGCAGGTAGGAAGAGACCAGCCATAGATAAGTTTGAAACCCAGGCAGAAAACTTTAGATCAGAGGTGGCTGGAATCAATGAATCGCTGTGTGAATATGTATGCACGTGTGTGTGTATCATTTGTAAAATCAGGAAAATAAGTCTTTCCAGCCTTATTATGTAAATCAAATAGGATAAAGAGAGTAAAGCACTTATCCCAGTTCCTGGCACATACTAAGCAGCAACTAAACAGTAGCTATTATTACTACTGCTAATGATAATAACAGAGAAAGTTTGCCTTGAATTTTAATTCTGAGTAAATAGACTCATTCTGGGTTATTTATATCACATGTATCTAATTTGTCTTTATAAAGTCTTCAAAAGTTTAACCAATAATACTGTTGATTAAGACAAATGTCGGGAACCCATAGAAAAATGAGCAGACCCCATATGTATTCAGCAAAGAACACATGTTGTTTTAATGGCATCACCATGGACAGAGCTAAAAAATAACCACATGAAAGAGTTTTCAGACTGCTATCTATATTTCATTAAGAATGTGCTATTTGCAACTCTACAGAATTCATTTAGAGGTTTACAATTCCCCGTGAAGTATATTTCACTAAAACTCAGTTGTTATAAAAATAGGCATTTCCCAGAAGGATAAACGGAGGAGGCATAAAAACCTCTGCAAGATCCTCTATAAACTTCAAAGGTATGAGAATGCCCGTAAGGTTTTTGTTTTGTTTTGTTTTGTTTTAGATTTTCTTGGTGATGATAAGGGAGGCAGAGTATAAATAAACTGTAACTCAAAAAGCTTTTAGTACTTTAACATTTAAAAAAAATCCGTCTAAGTGTAGTGTGCCGATTTCCTTTATATTAACTATTCTTCAAACTGTTTATGAGAGTTAATGATGCAATTTATAATTAAATATTATTATAGATGAAGAAAAGTAGGCCAAGGTTCTAAATAAGCTAGATGTTGATGAAAAGGTCTGAGCCACAACCTCTATAGAGGCAAGGACTAAAAGGTGTAGGAGGGAAAAAATGGGAACAGAAAACAAGGGAAGGGGAGAAAAAAAATATTAAAGTCTTTTGAAGATTTTAAAGCCAAGAGTTTGAATTAAAGAAAAATTTGTTAGACCCCACTTAAATTCATGTATGCTGTTGGCATTTGCTCATGGCCATTGCAGAAAATATTTTCTTTATGCAACACCCTGGACCTGCTCCATCTAATTAACAGAAAGAAAGGTCATCTAGACACATAAAAAGGCACTACCTTTGTTGCTGAATAGCTGGATTAATCTTTTAACAAAGTCTTAAATGTTCCTAATTCCCTTTACCCTTAAACCTTATAATTAACCGGACTTTCAGCCATGTGCTCTCTCCTCTTCATCTCCCTCTCCTTTTCCCTCTGTCTGGGCCTGCAATTCCCGACATTCTTGCTACCCTCTTCATCCCTTACACAATCACCCATCTTAAGTGGGGCTTTGTGGACAGACCCACTCTTTACTTAGCCTGTGGTCTTTACAGCCCACTGCCAAAATGTCTCTTCCCCTCAAAGGCCTTTATGCAACTTGTGACACACACTGAGTTTCCAGCAATAGGATTAACTCAGGGTGAAAGTGCATTAAGTATTCTGAGTGCAGGTCACTGTTTGCTGTTCTAGTTGGCAAAGTACACAATGACTTGAGCAATGCTCCTTGGGCATTTTCGTTTAGATTGTGGATATTCTGTGGCACAGGTATCAATGCTTGCTTTTTCTTAAGGACAATTAACTAAAATCTGGTTGTGATCAGTGGGTTTTAGTTTGTTTGGACCAACTATTTGCTCAAGGGGAAGGAGCCTGCCTTCCGCATTCTCGATCAGGGCGGCTCTCTGCAAGCTCCCCAGCCCTGCCATAAAAAAACCATTTATACTATTTTCTATATCATGGCATGCCTTGGCATCTGCTCCCTTCATGGCGTCTGGTGAAGTTTGTGTCGCGTGGGACCTGGTGTCTAGGCATGGTTTCCATCTCACTGGAGCAGCAGGCACATGCTGAGGGCAGAGGACCTGGGTCACGGCTACACACTTGCAGAGCAGCCCATGACATGCTCTTGGAAACAAAAATAATTGTTAAACCCTGAAGTATATATAAAAGCACTTTTCCCCCTTTGAATCAAGAATATTATTGTGAACCTTAGCAAAACAAATCAGTAGTGCTGACTAAGTCTCTGAACATCGGCCCTGAACGTGAACATGCTTTTAAATTGAGCTAAGCAGTTATAGAGCAAGTAGACTCTTTAAAACTCTGTTTATTGCTATACTCTCCGTTCCGGCTTTGTCCCAGAGATTTCCTATGGTTCCAGGAGCTTTGGAGTTAGTATCTCTGATGTGTTTGCATCTGACCTCTGACCTAAACGTCAGTGTTATTTTCAGCTGTTTTTTGACAGGGAATCCAACAGCTGCTGTTTAATACCACAGACAACTTGCAACACGGGCTGAGCTTCCAGCAATAGGATTAATCTGCTGTTTGGGGACTGATCTGAAGCTGGCTATGATCTTCCTCCACAGGAGGTGGGAGTGGGGAATAACAACCAAGACTAAAGTGTTATCCTTTTTTTTTAATTGTGACAAAATATAATGTTAGCCTTTAATCAAACAAAAGACACTTTCTTGCTGCAATTAAAAGGTAACAGCAAAGTGTTTTGCTTTCTAGTGATTGGGATAACTGAATTTGTAAACGCTGTTCAGTGGACTAGAATAGTCACAAAGAAATCCTGAAATGATAGTATCTATGTTGATAAATGCTGGTTGAAATATTTTAAAAGTGTTTCTAAGAAATCTGAGACTCTGAGAAAATGTGCCTTTTCCATATAAACTTTATTTGGCAAAGGGCAATACGTTTTTAGAAAAGCAGATTAATCTGAAAATGTATTTCAAGCAATTTTGTGACTTAATCCCAAAAAACAAATACCAGAACTTTTTTTTTAAAAGTACATTTTTTGTTGGTTTTCTTTGCATGAGAGAAACTTTGAAAATCTTGAAAAGATTGATATCCAGGTCAATGATTTGCTGGTTTCAAAGTCCATGGTTACAAGTGCGTAGTTTTAATGGCAAAACTCATTTGGGTTGTCAGGATGTAATTTTTTTTTTTTTTCCATTTGCTATCAAACATCAGCTGATAGGGAAAGAGCTCAAAGCTGTCCTCCACATTTAAGATAATGGCAAAAATAACAGGCGCTTAGTGTTACCATACTAGGGGTGTGGTGATTCTCTCTCGTTCCACTCCTGTCTCTCTCTCCTGATAAACTCAATGGAGTTGTCTATTTTTAACCTCCTGTTCTTTCCTTTTGGCAGAGTAATCATTGCGAGCTGAGCTCCTTCCCTGAATGAATCCAAGTAACCCCAGTGGTTGCCTTCTGAAATGACCAGCAGACACGCAACTGTACAGAGGCTGCCCAAAGTATAAACTCTTCTTCTAAGGTACCATGTCCAGCCAAGGAAGTCCTGGTGCAGAATTTTCTACGACAACAGTCAGTTCAGTAGCTGTGCAGGCTGGGGACTCCAAAATCATTATAGCTGTCATAAAGGTAAGCTAACAACTTTCTTTTTTCTGTGTGGCTGTGGGCTTCTTGCTGCCTGTTGATAACCCTAAAGAATATTCCATGCAATCGGCAGGACATGGCATATAGAAGATAACACAGCAAGCCCTTTTACTGCTTTCTTAAATCTGCAACTAAGAGAAACCTCTACAACGTTTCAGCCAGTTATCCGAGTTTCCCTTTCCTTTTACTCAGCCAGAAAGCATCTACAGCAGCTTGATTTAAACATGAAAACTCTACCACATACTTTCAATTTGCTCTTTAGAAGCCAGGCATGAGTGATTAGACGTTCGTGATTACCAGGCTGAAGAGCTGGCGGACCTGTGCAATACTTGTGATTTTTGAGAGTGGATGTAATGGAGGTGGGAGGAGGCAGGTCCTGCAAATGGGGGTGGCCCTGTTTTGAGCACAGTGGGGCACAGGGAGCGCCTAGAAAGAGGCTCCCACACGTGCCCTACGCAACTCTGGTTTTGACATGCTAAAGACACTACTGAATCCTTATCACACTGTTGGGGAAGTGAAGACCCTGCCAGGGAAGGTGCAAAGGGCTTGTGTCAAATTTGCTTTTAACAGCAGGAAGTAGAAGCCACTTGGGGCTTAAGATTACTGCACACTTTATGTCAAGCAATTTGCCCATTTGCGAAGATGACCAGGCATCTTTAGGTTGAAGAAGACAGCCATGATTTTATTCTCTATAGAAATGCCCTGCAAAAATCTCCGAAGCATTAGGCTTGTGCTTTAGACAATTTACCACCTAAAGAATTCAGTGTTTAATGAAGGGAAACCTGGCAAACAAGCAGCCAGTTACTTTCAGAACCCCACCCGACTTAATTGAATGGCTTTTCTGGCCTTTTGCTAGAGCATGGACGACAAGGCCTGTTTAATTTAACTTAATTGCTGTGAGTTTTACAGTTAAGTGAAAATTCGTAACAGGAAAACAGCATTTTACATTGAGCACAACGATTCACTGTAGGACAGAATGCAAAGTGTTCCTACCAAGGATCAATTCCCAGTGTTGTTGAGGCTTGTCTCTGCAGAAACAGAACCTCTGCTGACTCCCTCATCCCCTCCTCTTTGCAAAGTCAGTGAGTAGAGAGGGAAGGCAGCTGAAGCAGAAGTAGCAAGAGCTGATCGTTTGCACGTGATTTAATGATGCTTTGAGTAACTGCAAATTTCAGCAGTAAGGGAAAAGAGGCTAACTCACTATTTTTAAAAAAGTTAACTTTTCTTGTCCTCAAATATGAAACATTCTTAGAGCAGGATGAGGAAAAATATGGGGAATAAAATATAAGAGAAGCAGAAGTAGATTGAAAGCAAAAAAAAAAAACCCTCTAAAATTACACTGGAAACTCTTATTTTAACTGAATTATGTTTCTAAGAATGTTCCCTCACGGACCCTCCCAAATTCCCTCCTCTTACTGCCATTTCCAAATGAAATATACCCCAGGGTATTCAAAGTAGAAAGTCTATCTTGATGGAATAGAAGTGCCTGTGTCTGATCTATAGTGACTTCTTCCAAACTAACTCAGGGCACTAATTATATTCTTTAACAGAAATACATTTTTCTCATTTCTTTTTAGTAATTCACATATCCACATGCACGTGCCTGTTAGTGGTTTATTTTGCTTAATCAGTTGTTGCTTCTTAGAAAAGCAATTCCTCAGGAAATGCAATGATGAATTATGTCTTAGAGCAGTGAAAATCCTGAATGTGGAAAACACGTTGACAGCATTCAAATGGCAGTTGTCACAGGCATCTAATTTTATTAATATTTTCCTACATGCTTTATTGAATACTCAACAACAGTTGGAAAATGTTATGTTTTATCTTTGAAAGAAGATAAAAATCAATTGCTTCATCTGATGCTTATTCCTTCTGGTTGAACCAGCAAGGCCAATGTAAAGACACTGATCAGCATAAATTCCATTTATTAATACAAAAACTTTCCCATATGAATTTTGTGTCCTACTTGCCCAAGTGGAATTTCATTCTTTTATGGAGTTCAGTTTTGCGAATGAGAATGGGTACAATTATGTGAATTATTCTGTAATTTTGTAATATTCAATAATATATAATTCATTGTGCATGTTCCTCATTTGGGAATTTTTAATTCAAATCCAATATGCTAAGGGAATAATTTACCCTAAGAATAATAAACAGGGCAGGGCATGGATTTATATTAGATCTGTTATGCTTCAATTTAAGTAAGGTCCATCTCTATGGAAAGAATAAAGTGTTTACAGTATAACTGGAAATTTAAAATATATATTAAAAAGGAGAAGGGTGAAGAGGAAGGAACAAGAGGAACTAAAAGTGCATTTTATTTCATTTTTATTTTTAGTGTGGCAAATGGGTACAACTTCAACTGGCTGAATCACAGCCCAATCTTCTAGAAATTGGTAGCAGTCAAGATGAAACCAAAAAACTTCTTCATGATCATGAACTTCTTTTGGCCAAGCTCAAGGTAAGATATTAAGATGTGAAGCAGAAACAAAATTAAAAAGAGATAAAAAGCTATTTCTTACACTTCTTGATTCCTCTGGTGTCACTGGCCTATGGCCATCTTAACATGGTGCCAGACAGATAATGGAAAAACACTACAGTTATTTATGAGCAAACATTAGCATCAGAGAGAAGTAACGAGATTTTTTTTCAACTTTCCCTAATGTGATAGAAAATATGGAGTGATAATATTTTCACTGTGGAGAAATAAGTAAGTCTTTTCCAGGCTGCCTCAGTGAAAAAAAATTCTGTCATTTTTCCATTTCATGAAAGAGACTGTGAAGTCACAACAACAGATCCAAATTTTCTATCGCTAATGATACCTGGCGGTAAAAATAAGTTAGAGGATTTTTTTCCCCATTGAACTATTGAAAATATCTAATTTTGAGCTTTGTATTAAGAGTTCTTGAAACCAAATAATACTCTTAGTAAAAAAGCCAGACTTATTATTCCATATATGTTATGGTTATTTAGTTAAGAATCTAAAAATAACATTGGTTTAAATTGCCAGATAAGGGCCAGGGAAGGTCAGGGCCAACTATATAATTTGTGGAGCACAGGGCAAAATGAAAATGTGGGGCCCTTGTTCAAAAAACAGGAACAAGCTTTTTCTTGACTCATCATGATGTTTTTAATTTGCTATTTAATGTCTGGCTCCTTCAGGCACAGGGCTATGTGTGAGGTGAGCACAGACTCTCACAGGTGCCCAGCCTTGCCCAGGACTCAGTGCACCGGGTGTCGGCCTGACCCACCCCATCCATTGCAGGTGACAGCGGTCACTGAGCCATTGAGTGGGGTGGAGGAGCAGACAGTGCAGCAGAATCTACGCCCTGGAGGCAGGACCACATGTGCGATGAGGCTCCAATTGCCCAGCACTTACTTCATTGTCCTATTGGACACAAAATTACAAAACACAAATTCAAAGATAAAATTATTAAGAATTTTAAGACAGGGACAGGTAGAGCATTAGACCTCAGGTGGCATTCCTTTCTGAAAATGGAGCCCTGGGATGCAGCCAGCCTTGTTGGTAACAACCCTCTTAGGCGAATGAACGTCCTCACTGAGATCAAAGAGGTTTGATGACGATTCAGAGGCCTGCAATGACTAGGACATTCTGCATTTTTTAACACGTCAATACTACTGGCGTCTCTGAACATCTAGGCTGGAATTCACACTTGCATTCTAGTTTTAGAGGCAGCTCTGATCTGAAACTGATATATAGGCAGTGGTTTTCTGATTGGACAGTGGTAAAAGTAATTGGGTAAATCAGACTGAGAAGTTGAAGAAAGAATTAGTACTGAAGAATGGGGCCGTTGTAATCCAGAATTCATTCCCCTGTTTGGCAGCTCCTTGCTATGGGCTCTGTGTTGTCTTTCAAGGCAGAAATCCCTGTTTTGTTTTGTTTTTTCTCTTTTATTCGGGATGTTTTTTGAATATAGAAAAAAACATTATGTTGTGAAAAAGCATTGAACCAGTAATCAAAAGGCCTGTTGTTTTAGCTCTAATTATGCCACAAACTAATGCAATTTGGCTAACAACTGAAGATCTTCCTGCTATACAAAAAACTGTGTAAACTTACCTTGAATCCCCAATTCCATGGACTGTGGAAACCCAACAGATGTTTGCTTTTTCGTGGTCCCTTGTGTCACCAGCTCCTTGGAATACACCAGCTAACTGTTTCTGCTGAAGCTAACCTGGATTTGGAATCACATCCCTTTCCAGGCTCCCACTGATAATTCATGCCCAGCCAGCATTTTCCAGTCCACTGATGAAGTATGGGGGGGTGGGGGTCACAACAGTTTGGGTCTCTTGAGCTACCTCTCTTCTCCCTTCATCCCTGTTCTAGTCAAGATCACAACTCCAAGGAGAATGCCTTCTTAGGTGAGGCAATTCAGCACCCCTGAACGCATGCTCAAATTTGCATACCTAAATCCATCCAGGAGCTCAGCCAGAAAAGGGTTTTCGATTTAACAGGATTCATCTTCATTAGAAGTCACTTGCGGTCCTAGATTCTGTCTTGTTGTCCTTTGATGCCAGTGTTTTGGGCTGTGGACTAGCCACTTAAGTCTTCTGGACTTCAGGCTTCTTATCTGTAAAATGAGGGCATGGCATAGATCAAAGCTTCCTATCTGTCGTGGATCTTACCATAATGTGCCATGGGATCATGGGACCATTCTGCCTCCCTGCATGTGGGTCTAAAAACGTGAGGTCTCAAATAAAAAGTTCTTTCGGCTTCACCTGGGCCTCTAGCCATAACCTCTTAATGTCCATGTCTCATACTCTCCCCCACCCACCACTATCAGCCCAGCCACCCAGCCCCAAGAAATTTTAATAGTAGCATTGTCTTCCAGATATAATTGATTCTAGTGCTATTAGTATAAAAAAAGGAAAAAAATTATCAGGGAGTTCAAAGTCTATTTCAGATTTGCCGACGAAAGACTTTTAAAAATAATAAAAATGTTAATTCCATCTTGCAAATGGATAGATCTAAATTCAACCAATTTACTAGTTATTATGCTGTCAGGGTAGGCACAACATTAACCTGAGGCGGAAAACTGTTGGATCCAAGTTAGTGTTAATGTGAGCTTTCGAAGGATGAGGACATTAGTAGTTCAATAAGCCAATAATATTTAATATTTAATGTTCCTTCCAATCCTTTTCCTATGTACAGTGTTCCACAACTTGTTCTAATTATAAAGAAGAATGCTGAGGAAGTGGTATTGGGAGGGTGTAAGATTCAGCGCTGGGTCCACTTTGATTTGGGCACGGCATTTAGCCTCTCTGGGTAACAAAAGTTACTTTCACACACCTAAAAAGGAAATTTGGGGGAGAAATGAAACGATGTATGGAAGTGTATGCTGCTTTTCAAAGAAAGAGTGGCATAATTATTATGTTAATGATGAACATATCAGAGTAATTTGATACATTAAATGTTTTTTTAATAGAAAAGCCGTTTTCTCCCTTCCATTGAAAATCATCTCAAACCCTAGTAATTTAGACTAAAGGGAAAAATTCTGAAAACACAGAATTTTTATGAGTGTTTCAATGTTGGTAATATTTATACCCTGGAGATCGTATTTTCCCTTCAGCAATGTACTGAATCTCAGTGGAGTGTCCCGAGAAAAAATGTTTCCCAGTTTTCAGTGATGAAAACATCATGTGGAAAAAACTTTAACTCCCAAAGGCTCCTAGATTCCCAAACCATATTCAAATTATTTTTAATGAGAAAGAAGGCATTTGGGAAAGAGAAGAAAAAGTAGATGTAAGCCAGGTAAAGAAGATATGCCGGTGGCCACTATTGACATTACCCCCTCCGTGAGACGCAAAGTGGTTAAAGGAGGAACAGAGGAGTTGGAAATACCTTAGGGATATTCCTAAGAACATTCTTCTCCTCAACATCTGTTTTTCCACTGCATCTCTATTGTCCAAAGGAATTATGACTATAGAAACCAAGAAGACCTCCTGGGCACTGGCTCCTGTATTTGCAGATACGTGGTGTTAGCATTCAGTGAACCATGACCCTTTAGAGTACAAAACAGTGAAAAATTTCACCTTGAATTTGACTCTCATAAACCTATTGGTTTCCTGATTCTGACTAAATCTCTGACCCAATAAATGCTTATTTTTGTCCTATTTCTGCTTTCTGAGCAGAAATGAATGCACCATAGTCAGAATGTATTAGTAACAAAACTCAGTCTTATTAAAATTTACCTTAAGTAAGAGATAGTGAGGTTTTCTGCTGTTAATCTGAAGTATTTACTAAAAATGCATTTTTAAAATGCTTTTTATTACGGTAAAATATATATAACATAAAACTTGCCATTTTAATCATTTTCAAATATACAATTCAGTAGGATTAACTACATTCACAATGTTGTGCAACCATTACCACTATCTATTTCCAAAACTGTCTCATTACTCCAAACAGAAACTGTGTATCCATTTAGCAATACCTCCAATTATTACCTCCACTGGTAACCTCTAAACCACTTTCTATCTCCATGAATTGACTATTCAGGGTACCTACTATAAATGGAATGACACACAATAATTATCCTTTTGTGTCTGGCTTCTTTCACTTAGCATGTGATGTTTTCAAGGTTCACCCATATTGTAGCATGTATCAGAACTTGATTACTTTTTGAATAAAGAATAATAATCCATTGTAATGATATGCTCAATTTTGTTTACCCATTCATCTGTTGATGGACACTTGGGTTGTTTCCACTTTTTGGCTCTTCTGAGTAATGCTACAATAAACATCCATGCAGAAGTATCTGTTTGAATATCTGATTTCAGTTCTCTTGGATATATATCTAAGAGTGAAATTGCTGGATCATATGATATTTCTATATTGAACTTTTCGAGGAAGCACCAAAATGTTTTCTACAGCAGTTGTATCATTTTACTTTTTCATCAGCAATATATACTTGTTCCAATTTCTCTACTTTTTATTTTCTATTTGTTCTTTTTTAAAATTGTAGTCATCCTACTAGGTGTGAATTGGTGTCTGGTTGTGGTTTTCATTTGTATTTTTCTAAAAATGGATTATGTTGTGTATCTTTTCATGAGCTTATATCTTCTTTGGTAAAATGTCTATCCAAGTTGTCCACTTTTAAAGCAAGTTATGTTTTTTGTTGTTGTTGAGTTGTAAGAGTTCTTTATATATTCTGGGTATTAATCCCTTATCAGATACATAATTTGCCAATGTTTTCTGCCATTCTGTAGATTGCTTTTCACTTTCTTGATAATGTCCTTTAAGAATGTATTTTGAAGCTGTGTGACTTGAATTGCACATATTTACATAATAGAGAAAATTTTATAGTATATGTGTTGTGAATGTGATGGAACCCTTTTAGACAGTGTTAGAAGATGACCAACCTATTTTGCATTATTAGTGTCATAGCAGAGGTTTACTCTAAATGTTTGCTTCAAATAGGAGATTCATTTTCTTTCTTTCCC